TGTAAACCGCTCTGAGACTCCGAGTAAAGGGTGGGGTATAAATCCAATCAACTCCTCCTCCTCCTCCTCTTCTTCTTCCCTTATAATAACCCTGCGAGGTAGGGCAGGCTGAGAGGGGTTGGCCCAAGGTTTACCTATAGAAAGCTTTCCTAGCAGAGTGGAGATCTGAACCTGGGTCTCCCGGATCCGTGTCTGAACTCTAAGCTGGCTCTTGGCTGAATTACAACGTTCCAAATGGGAACCCTTAATAATACCTAGCATCCATCCACAACTTTTAGATTGTTCAAAGGGTTCAGGGATTGTTACAACATCTCTGTAAGGTAGGTCAGTAGGATTGTCCCCATATTACACCGGTGAAGAAATCACTTGTGTTATGTATGTGTGTTAAGACCGGTCTGTAATATCCAATGAACACAGTGCATCTCCTAACAATGGGTTGGGTGCAGCTAGTTTTTCGCCTGTGTCTCACCCAGGTCTCCCTTCATATACTCCCAGTTACATATGGATGTTGCCCATGCAGGACCTGTGACCCCTATGATAGCCTTTTTGGGTGGTCAAGAGGGACCCCCATGCTCCCCTTTTCAGGAGTGAAAAAAGCTGTTTGGATCCAGCCCAATGCGCAGATAGTAACAAGTGACAATCCTACACATGCCTGGGTAGCCGTATGTACACAAATTGAGAATCAACAGTTGGTCTAGGGCGTTGATGTTTCCTTTGGGCTGCTGGACTCCAGCGTCTATAGCCGCGTGTTTGCATGTGATCAGAGCAAAATAATTCTGTCTCCTGAGTCTCTTCTCCTGTGTCACAATGATTGCACACATACGCACATGGGCACACATGAAGCCACCTTATACTGAATGAGATCCTTGGTTCATCAAAGTCAATATTGTCTTCTCAGACTGGCTGACAGCTCTCCAGGGTCTTAGGCAGAGGAGTTTCACGTCACCTCTGACAAGCTCTCCAGGGTCTCAGGCAGAGGAGTTTCACATCACCTCTAACATGGTCCCTTTTAACTGGAGATGCCGGGAATTGAACCTGGGGCCTTCTGCATGCCAAGCAGAGGCGCTTCCACTGAGCCACGGCCCCATCCTGAGATTACATTCTAGGCATAATTATTTATCCTTCCCTTACAACAAGACTGGGTAGCAGACAAGAGCAAGAGTCCAGGAGCACCTTAAAGACTAACAACATTTGTGGCAGGGGGTGAGCGGTGACTCGCGGAAGCTCCTTCCCTGCCACGAATTTTGTTAGTCTTTAAGGTGCTACTAGACTCTTGCTCTTGTCTGCTGCTACAGACAGACTAAGGGGGCTACCCATCTTGATCTGAATAATAACTCTTTTTTTCCTCACCTGCCACGTCCCTGCTCCAAATTGCCCCTTCTCATTGGCAGCACAAGAGCCAGGGGGGCACTAGGACCCAGGAGACCCAGGTTTCGAATCAGTACTCTGACATGAAAGCTCACTGGGCGACCTTGGGCCAGTCACACATTCTCAACCTAACCGACCTCATAGGGTTGCTGTGAGCAGTATTCTCTCTAAGCTGAGTGAGTGTGAGCTAGCTCACAGTTTTTTTAGCCTCCAGCTCACACGTTTTTGTCTTAGCCAGGGGTAATTTCGTAGAAAAAGAGGTGCAGGAGTTCATTAGCATAACGTATTTGCATATGCCACACACCCCTGACATCACCGGAAGTGTGTCAGAAGGCAACGTCCACTGCTCAGGCTCCACTGGACTGTTTTGGATTGCTAGCTATTGGGGGGGGGCGTGCAGATCTGTCCTCGCAGAGGAGGGAGAGCTTGTACCTGAACAAAACTTGGTCTTAAAGGTGCCACTGGACTGTCTTGGACCGGGGGGCCAGGTGGGGGGCTCTGCAACTTACCTGGCTGCTTCTTGCTCTGACTGAGGGCTGCTGGGAGCAGGGGGTGGGGCTTGTTTCATGTGCCCCCCCCCTGGGCTCTTTACTGCCGGAGCTCCGCTCCTGTGCGCTCCTGCAGGAAATGACCCCTGGTCTTAGCTCAGGAAAGATGGCTCCAGAGCAAACTAATTGATGCAGCAGCCAAATCGCTTGCTCACCACTTTGATGCCGCTAGCTCACAAAGTAGAATTTTTGCTCACAAGACTCCACAAGTTAGAGGGAGCCTTGGCTGTGAGGATCAAAAAATGCAGAGGAGGAGGACCCTGTAGGTTGCTCTGGAAACAGGTGGGGCAGGAATGACGTGACTAAGGACATCAATCACGTGGCTGTAAATATGCCATTTGTTGTATTTGGAATGGGAAAAGGTCGGGAGGCAGTGGTGGAAAGGCCACTTCTCCTCTCTCGCTTGCCTCCCCACAAGGCAACTTTTCCTTGTTTCACAGAAACACTGGAGCGCTGTTGCATACAACACATACTCTGAGCTTTCCTCTTATTTATTTATTCTTTCTTAAACAAGCCCGGCTTCTCAGGATTCTACAAGGAATCAGTGGGCTGTAATGAAGTGCCTCAGAGCTCTACCTGTTAGGTTCCCCCATTGTTGATCCGTGTTGCACAGGAGTATACGAAGCTGCCTTCCGCTGAGGCAGGACCAGAGGTCATTTCGGGGGGGATCGTGGGGGATCGCAGTTCCCCCGGGTGAGGTACGGGGGGCGGGGCACATGACGAAGCCCCGCCCCCT